TTCAGGTCCTTTGCATCATAATTTCTTTTAGACCCTCATATGTTTCTCAGATTTTCCTAGGAGAGAATATGTCACTCCTAGGCATGTGACTCCTTCTTATATCTAGAAGCCAGAGATAACAGAAAAGGATTCAACTTGCATTGAAGATACAGACTCAGAGGCTAGCAGAGGCCAGGCTAGTAATGACTTCACATATCAGTGAAGGAAAAGGAGACTACAGGAAGCAACGGGCACTATGACTATACCTAGCCAAAGGGGCAGCTGCCATTCAGAGCCACCCTATGGACATAGATGTATGTCATATGGAAATTGCTGTTTCTTCTGCTAATTCAATAAAGCTAAAAAAAAACCAGACTTCTAAGTATAGAGATATGGTTTCCTTATTACTGTGAGAAAACACACCTGTGACCTGTTTTGGGCCCTTAAGAAGAACATTTAGCAATAAAAATAGTGGTATTTTCATTACAAAGTGAACATTTCCCAGGTAATTTGGCTTGTAGGGTTTGCAGTTTAATATTTTATGACTGTTCTTCCTCCCTTTTTCATGTTGGGAGGAAGGACATGCTGTGATTAGCCTGCAGATTCAGCGTGGCTTTGTGGTTCAGACATTGGCTTGCATCAAAGGACTCTGCTTTTGTTTTCCGCTTGAAGAAAAACTGACACTTGTTATAGTTCCGCTTACTGTGTGAGCCATCCCCCGTTGACTTCTGGACAATCACTATAAATCTCTATTATGCTGCTGTTATCGTCTTGTTATACTGGCGCTGTTGAGGTACCTTCTCAAGGGACTGGAGCCCAGGTGTGCACACACAGAGTGAGGAATACTCTCCTTTAAACACATAAAAGAGCTATTGCTCTTTTATTTGGCACAACACACATAAATGTTAGTGTAGCCAAAGGAATCTTGAACGGACATTTGCATTGCAAATTTTTTTTTTTCAGAAACCGGAGCAAAGGTATCAAGAGCTCAATCTGCTAGCCATTTGAATTCCGTAAGTTCAGAGAGCAATCCATCTTTTTTTATTTTTATTCCAGGAAAACAGAGTTCAGAGAGTTGAGATGCACTGCCTCACAACCAGGCTCCAAGGCATTAGAATTTCTCATAAAAAGGAATATATTCTTGTTTCCCATGAAATTCAGTTATATAGACTTCCTTTTATGGGTGCCTTTTCTTTGCAGCCTGTTCGGAGCAAACGCACAGGGTTAAGTCGTGGTATACATTCATTGTTTTGCTGTCCAAACTGATGGGCCATGTGATTGGCACCTTGTCAGATAGTCAAAAGCGAAGCTTCACTGACTCCCTGTATTGCGTTGTGAGGATGTTGATGCTGGTACTTGACATCTTTTGATGTGACAAACCATTATATGAGGAACAATAGATAGTTGATCACACTTGAGAGGCATGGATGGAGTTTAGGAAAAGTGTCTTACATTTTTCACAGACAGAAGACTAAAAGTGTATTTCTAAGAGTAGACAAAGAAAAGAAGTTGATTTTTTCAGGTAATTAATGATTTTTTTATTATTAATTATTAGGTCAGATTTTGGTTGATGAAATCTCTGGTGAGTTTTTGACTGATGTTTCTGTGGTACTGGGAAACAGAATCTCTTGAATCTGGGTAGGAAAGTGCCTCACCTCTAAGCTATAGCCCTAGTTCATTTACTTTGATTACTTTCTGTGGTTGATATATTGTGTATTCTAATAAACTTATCTGGGGGTCAGAGAATAGAACAGCCACTAGATTAGACATAGAGGCCAAAAATTGGTGCCACACATGCCTTTAATCCTATCACTTGGGAGGCAGAAGTCTGTCTGGATCTCTGTGAGTTCAAGGCCACACTGGGAACAGCCAGGTGTGATGGCACACATCTTTAATACTACCACTTGAGATCCCATGTCTTTGCTTAGGAAGGATACATGCCTTTAATCCCAGGAAGTGATGACAGGAAGCAGAAAGGTATATAAGGCATGAAGACCAGGAACTAGAGGCCTTTTAAAAGCAATTCAGGGGAGATCCATTCTAGTGAGGACTCAGAATGGAAGACATGGAATCCTATGGTGACTAGAGGGAGCATGTTTTTAAATTGCTTGGGAAGGATAGGACCATGGGGAAAAGGTTGACTATTATTAACGTTTCATTGACAAGATGAAGCTAGGCATAAAGACTGAGTGAAAATCATTCTATCCCAAAAGTAAGCAAGTAGAAATCTTAATATAGAAACACATGTCTAGGTACATTAGCAGACAATATTGAAGTAGAATATTAGAATTAGGGTGTGCAAGGTTATTCCAGCAGTATTTCATGGGGAAGTTTATAAATACAGCGCATCACAAGAGAAATCACTAAGAATTCATCCAAGTGGGGAGTAGGGGGAACAACCTGAGGACATATAGATGAATGACAACTTGACAGCTGACTTTCCATTAACAGTAATGTAAATCAAATAATGGTAGAACAGTTCAGTTAGAACATGAAAGAAAATATCTGTTAGCCAGGATTTGGTGCTGAACAGTATTTTATTTTCAGAATGAAGGAAACATATTTGTTCATGTGAACAAAATATGAAATTTGAAATAGATTTTAGTTAAAGAACTGTATAATCTCCTTCATGAAAGAAATCCATCACAGTGGAGAGTTTGGAAGGCCAAGAAGTTATGATAAAGTAAACAATGGCAAGTCTGCAGACATTTCTAAACAGCTGCTGACTGTGGAATAATAACATGGCACCTTCTGATTTGTGGAAGGGAATATTCACTAAGGCAAATGAACTTTAAGTAACAGTATTACACAAATTGTGAGAGTATGGTGATTAGAATTAAATGTTCTAAGACCACTGTATCATTCAAGCCCCAAGAAAGACATTTAGTTTATGAATAGCGGTCTTACATCAACATGCTGAAGCAATGTGTGTTTTAGATACATCAAATAAATGAATTAAATTGGACAGTGTACTTAAACCTGAACAGAAGAAAAAAATCAACTGGGATTAGATGAGACCAAGTTAATGTGAGAGAAAGAGAGGGAGAGAGAGATAGAGAGAATACTAGGAAAAGGATTACAAGAAAGAACAACAAAAAATAACGCAAAGTAGAAATGAGTTCAAATTTGCAATCAAGCTGAATGAAACTCTTTACCTCAAGACAGATGATCATGTTGAATTTATAGGCTTTAAGTCTTTTTTTTTTTTAAAAGAAATCTAAACTATGTCCAAAAGAGTCATTTAGTATTTTAGAATGCTGTGATGCCACTCCAAGTCACAGAGTTAAGACTGACATTCTCCTATGGATGAAAACCTTCCCTAGACTTTGTACTTACTTTGCTCTTGTACACAAGCATCTCTGCATTCCAGCATCTATCTTGACACAGGAACATCAATGGGACCTCAATGGGACCTAATTTCCTCTGCTTGGGGTAGCCTACTGCCAGGTTTCACTTTGATAACTCACTGTCTTCAGTGTGAGCCTACCGATACTTCTTTGTTTAGTCTTACAAAATACCTCTTTCCTTTCTTCCTTTATAATCTGGCATATGAGTATCAGTGATTGTTATCTGCTAATATGCCATTAAGTTTATTTTTAATGGATTGTTTATTGTAGCAGAATATTATTTAAGGTGTATTACTTTTGTTTATGTAGCATTTGTTTAACTCTGTGAAGCTGTGTTACTGTGCCTGTCTAAAACACCTGATGGTTTAATAAAGATCTGAACAGCCAATAGCAAGTCAGGAGAAAGGATAGGCAGGCTTGGCAGGCAGAGAGAGTATATAGAAGGAGAAATCTGGGAGGAGGAAAAGAGGAGAACTTCAGGGGCCAGCCACCCAGCCTCCTAGCTACACAGCAAGCCACAGAATAAGAAATAGAGAAAGGTATATAGGAATAGAAAAGGAAAAGCCCAGAGCAAAAGATAGATGGAATAATTTAAAGGTAAGAAGAGCTGGCAAGAAATTAAGCCAAGCTAAGGATGGGCATTCATAATTAAGAATAATCCCCCATGTGTGATTTATTTGGGAGCTGGATGGTGGACCCCCCTAAAAGGAAAAACAAATAACAACAGTTTATGCTTCTCTAACTTACAATATATACTCCAAGAAGAATATAAATTCTAAGAGGGAAATAATATTTTTATTTTATTCATCCATATTGCAAATAGTAGTTGGTACATAGTAGGCATTGAGTAAATATTTACTGAAGGAGGACATGAATATTATTTGTTTCATAGTTTACCATACAAGATTAGGTGATGGTGAATACCCAGTACATGTTTGTTGGATAAACTGATAACTGAAATTAGAATGGAAAACTTAAATTCTGCATTTGATTTCATGTTAGAGATTATGCTGAGGGCACCCATGATTAGCAGGAAGTAATGGGGAAGGCTCAGGAGTCACCTAGCGTTTTGGTGAGGTGAGATGATAGGCTGACGTTTCTGTCTCTCAGCACTAATGGACAAGTTCTCATGTCTTTTCTAAAGGATGCTCTTTGAGGCAGTATCTATTTCAGATGGTTTGAAAATCAGTAGGTCCATAATAATTGGCCATTTAGGAAACTATAGGCTCACTGATGATACAAGAACCACCAGTTTTTGAACCTAATAAGTTTCAATGTGATAAATTGCCTAGAAATCTGACTTCTGAATAAACAGTTGCCCTTTGCTCTGGGCTGAATTACATCCCCTCTTCAAATTCATATCATAAAGCTTTATATTGTGATAGGCCTGGGTGGGGGTAATAAATATTAAATATAATTAAATATCACAATGATAGAGCCATAGTATCAAAGGATTGATATTTACAATAGTTTGAGTACTGGGTTATTCCAAAATGTTCATGTGTTAAAGGCTTGTTCCCTATCCTCTGGTCCTCTTAGAATGTGATAGAACTTCCAAGACTCGAAATGTAGTGAAAGAAAGTTAATGTATAATGATGTGTTCTTGAATGGGATATTGAAACCCTGGCTTCTTTCTGTCCTTTGCATTCTGTAGCAGGTGATGTATATAGTTACCTTAGGCATGAAATTCCACTACTGTATGCTGCTCATCACAGGCTTCAAACAGACTATGGGTTGAGACCTGTGAAAACATGAGTCAAACTAAGTCTTGACTTCTCATAAGTTAATAACCATTATTATTTTTTCAGAGTGATAGAAAGCATCCTCACTGAAGAAATACCAAGCATTCTTTGTGTCTGTCTCCCCTTCTCCTGATTTCTCCTTCCTCTCCAAGGGTACAAAGAGAAAAGGTAAGAAAAGGTCCTCACCAAAGAACTGAATGATCCTGCACTATGTTCTTGGAATTCCCCATCTGGAGACCTGTGAGAGAATAACTTCTGCTGTTTAACCAGTATATGGTGTTTCCCTGTACCAACCCAGAGTTTGTCTAACACAGCATCCTAGACAGCAGTCCAATCCCCAGGATATATTTAAGAAGAAACTGTAAGAAACACACTGTCTAACATATATGGCCAAGCAGTCTAAATCAAACCATTTTTTATGATATGTTTAATATAGAAGTCAATAATATAATAGCATTTAGCTCTGCTAGTATATTGGACAGATTACTCCTGGGTTTTTTAATGTCTTTTTGAAATTCAGCAATAATCCACAAGTTAGAACTTCTAAGAGAAGTAGTAAATCAAACCTTCCCCAGACTCCTCTGTGGTCATAGGAAATGGGAGGATTAATGGAGACAAGAACTTTGATAATTCTTACATATACTCACTAGATAATTTTGTAAATAGTTCTCCATGAAGATGTGACAGCATTTTTGTAAAGAAAAACATCGTTAGACATTTTTAGTTAAGTTTATTCTACTTTCCTTAGAAACGACTACTTGTAAAATAAAAGTTTTATTTTTTAGATTTTTAAACAGTGACTAGTCTGAAAAAAGATGTTTTAGGGGGTGAGTCTTATGCTTGCCTTGTAGTCACATTATTTTTTGTGAAACCGTAGTTATATCAAGAAAATAAGGAGAAGGTTTCAGAGGAAATAGTTCAATAAAGGTATCTATGTTTTTATTAGTGGTAGGAGATATAAACTGAGGTATTCATAGTTTTTGACAGGATTTTCTAGCTACTACTTCATGTCATGCCTACTAAACAGTGCTTTCAGCCACATATGCCTTGGAAAATATTTCTCAGTTTTATTTTTGTTTAAATCTTTCAGCTGTATTGCATTTAGCCCATGATACATGGAGAACCACAGAAGCTTTATAATCACTACATACTATGTGGAGCAAGTCAGCCTCAATTGAACTGGAGAAGTATATAAAGGCTTAATATTTGTTTTTCACTTTCCAGAGTCCTAGCAGTGGACTAAATTATGTCTGTTCTTTCAACAGACTTGTATGTTGCACCCTAACCTTATAGACCCTGTCTCTAAAATCAGTCACGTGGAAGGCTATGTCCTCAGCATATGAATCTGGTGAGGAAGGTCATAATTCTGGGGCTATCATGTGGCAATACAATATACTTTAGGTAGTTTTAAGCAGAGATATGATGAAATTCCATCTCTGTCCATTGCATGCACAGAGTGAGAGAGTGGCTGGCTAGAAGTGAGGAAAACAATCCTCCCCAGAAATCAAATTAGGTAGAACCTTGATCCTGGGATTCCTAGGCTTCAGAACGGTGGGGAAATACATTTCTGATTTTTAAGCCCTCTCCCCCTTGGTCTATGATATTTTGTTATGACAGCCTAAGCTAAGACAATTCTTCTGCCCCTTTTGTCATTTTTAAAAAGGGATTTCTTTTGTTCGGAGATCATATCATGAGGAATAAAATTGACAAATTAATGGAGGTACAAGACACAGACATATGAACAAATCAAATACTAAGATGCATTGGTTTCTCTCTGAAACTGAAAAGTATAATTAACTGAAGAACAATTTATTTCAGTGAAAAACAACTACAGCAGAAGAAATGCCATGCTTTCCCAACTGGAGTGATAAAAATAACATTTTCCCACAGATCAGAGCTTCCAACCAAAAGGTCACATGTGGTATAATCAGTGTATTTGTTTCAAATCTGCTCCTCTGCACTCTCTATAATTTAAAGCTAATCAGACACTTAGTGGAAATATAAAGTAGAACGGATTTACATCTTTTAACATATTTAACCCCATTGCATTATCTCTGAGAAGTATTGTTCTATAGAAAAATCTATTTTTCTTTTATATTTTTAAAAGTCATATTTTATTTACGTATTTATGTGTGTGTTTATATGAACATACCTTGCATGGCATGTGCTTATGGAGGTTACAAGACAATTTGTAGTTGTGGTTCTTGCCTTCCACTATGTAGGTCTAGGGATGGAACTTCTCTTGCCAGGGTTGGTGGCAGGTGTTTTACTGAGTGAGCCCTTTTGCTGTCCCTCTGTGAGTTTCTTGAAGACCTCTAAGTAAACAAAACTTGAGATTGTGTAGCATGAATCCTAATTTGTCTTATTAATTAAAATCCAGGGTCAGATATCAGGGGGAAAGCTGAAAAATCAGAGACGCAGAGCAGCCAGCCACTAGTTCTTACCTCTTTGAAATCCTCAGCCGAGAAGACTGAGCTTCTTTCTCCTCCTGCCTTATAGTCCTTTCTCAGCCCAGCCATACAACTTCCTGTCTCAACCTCCCTAGTGCTAGGGTTAAAGGCATGTGTGCCTCCCAAGTACTGGGAGCCAAGGCATGAGATCCCAAGTATTGGGATTAAACGTGTGTGCCACTGCTACCTGGTTCTGTTTTTCTTTTAAACTGGATCAATCTTGTATAGCCCAGGGTGGCCTTGAACTCACAGAGATCCATCTGCCTCTGTGGCTAACTAGTGGCTGACTTTGCCCTCTGATCTTCAGGCAAGCTTTGTTAGAGCTTACACAAAATATCACCACAAGAGTGTTCCTCTGTCGAAATAATGTCCTCAATATTTCCCCAATACTTCCCTCTGTAATTTACTTCACTAATTCACCTGGCCATGATGATATGCCTTATTGAGGACAATGAGATGACAGTGGCTGGGACAGAAACTGACTTGGCGAGTGCTTGCTGTGGGTTGCTGCCCAACATGCTGCTCCTGAGTGCTCGGCAACTAGGACATGCATGACCTGGGCTAGCCTCTAGATGGCGAGATACAGGAGGTCAAATCATCTGTGTGGGCTCCCCATGACATACCAACTCCTAGACCTGGAGTTAGTCTGTCATCCTATGCCCCATCTCATCTGGACTGACACAAGCCAGAAGTGTATCTGGGTGACACATTAGAAAGCGAGTGACAACCATGGCCCTGCTTAAACCTCTGACTTTAGAGATACTTTGTTATGAATCAAGTTCTAATTGAGTCAAAGGGATTTTTGAAAAAGAAATCAAAATAGAACCACCACCAAATGAAAATTCCTGTGAGTTTAAGGCAGGCTTGGTCTCCATAATGCATTTCAGGCCAGCTAGAGTTATATTGTGAGCTGCTGTCACAGAAAAACAAACACCCAAAAGCAGAGTATCACAAATAGATTGTGAATATTCACCCATACCTCACAAATTCAGGTAGCAGTCATAACAATTTGATACTCTAAATGAAAAAGAATGCCAGAACAAAGAGAGACAACCTTTGTTTAAATTGTAATACATCTGTACGGCATTCATATGTGCCATCCCTGAAATGTCTCATGTTCAAGACACTCTTTGCTTTTTACATATTGCGTACCACTTAGCCTACTGAATACTTTGCAAGAGAATTAGTGTCCTTTGGCAGATATGAAATCTGAGGCTAAGAAAAATTTATAAACTTGCCTTGGATAGCGAAGTTAATAAAGGTTTGTTCTACATGTAGCAAAACACCATCTTAAGATCACCCGGACTGTGAAGGGCAAACTGCAGTCAGCCGGCAGGCATGACTGAGTGAACAATACCCATTGTGAGCATTGTCATACTTCTATATAATGCCTATAACAGTTTTGCCAAAGTCTGAAAAAAAGTCAGTTATGAAATAGAATGCTGCTGTTTTGATATGAAATAGTTAACTGGTTTGAGGGAATTCTGTAAATTTAAGTATCAGAATTGTTTTTCTTATTGATAGCTATTGATCCTTGACTGGACCACTCAGACTCATTAACACTTTTATTACCTTGTCAATCAAAGCACCAACAGCACCAACCAGTGACTGAAAGGATTTGCCATTATTAACAAGACTGTCTGGTGCCCAGGAGCAATGGAATCCTGCTGAAAGTGTAAGGCCACATCAGCAGGGATTTAGATAGACTCCAGATACAGAAAGCAATTCAGAAGTTTTCTGTTCTAAAATCATTCGAAGAAACAGATTTTCTCACTTTCTTTGAATGCTTAGGATTTCAGTTTTAAGAAACCTTGTTTCAAGCCAGTAGGGATAAAAGCTTATGTTACTTTAAACTGTTTGGGGTCCAATTTCATTGAACAAGTTTGCTGAATTGCACTGGTCCCAGGGCAAATGTAATATGTAGGCAATAAATGTTTCTTATGTGCATAGCTAATTTTATCATTTCCTCTAATAGTGGCCTATTAGAGCAAACAGATTAGCAGTTAATTGGTATCCAACAAAGAACTATTTTGGCCTTTATTTGCTATTTTTTTAAATCCATTAGTGATCTTAGTCAATACCAAAGCAGAGACCTGAATTTCAGCGCTTGCCATTACCTCATGGAAATGCTGCATTTAGAATGTCATTATTTGCTAGATGTTCAACAAATTATACACACACCTATTTCCTCTGGAGTGTCCCTTACTTGTCTCACACTCAGCTATCAATGATTTCATAGTGATCATCTTCACAGAACATAGGCACTTTCAAATATGTGAACAGCTAATTTTGTTTTATGCCTTTTAGTGGCTTACCTGGTACTTATTGAAGAGATGATCTGTATAATATGTGAAGCTGCAGGATATCCAGATAAGACAAGATGCTTTTGCTAAGGTGTGTACACGAGTAACTGTACTATGAAGCAGTCTTAACTAAATGCTGTAAGAATGATATGACACATACACAAAAATAATCATCATAGCAGTCTAATGGAGTGAGGATTTCCATGTGCTTGAACGATCACAAGACCTTGTGGAATGTAATGCATTTACAGGACTGCTCATGAGAAGATTTTAGCAAAGAGAAACACAAAAGAAGACAAGGATTTCCAGCTGTTTAAACTGCTGCAAAAGCACCCTGTAAGCTGGGACTTAGAAACAAGGATCCAATTTCAGTAGGTTGTAAAATCTAAGATTAAGGCAGACTTCATGGCCAGCAAGGCCTTACCTGTAGCTTATAGATGACACCTCCTTGCTATGTACTTAAATCACAGAAGGCACTAGCCAGGTA